AGCGTAGTCGCAGTATCCTCGATCACTGATTCTATTCTATTCGATTCACTAAAACGAAGCATCAACAACGACCGTTAAACAGTGTTGACTACGACGATTACACAAGGCAAAATGGTTCGATCACATAACGAATGATCCTATGTGCTTTCCGGACGCATGTGCCCTCAACGGATGTAGATATTAGGAAACAAACTTTCGCCCTGTTATATATACTGGTTGAGCATACACCGTTCACTAGAGCAAGCGAGCTTTTCATGTGGGAACCGAAACACGGCAGATGTCGACTAGAAGGCGACCTTGCCACAAGGACCGACAAGGCAGAAGCGGGTGTGCGCTACCAGAGCAACTGTTCCTGCCCAGATGATCTAACCAGAGCTCCAGAGCAAAATTGCTGAAAGCAACGAATACAGGCGACAACATAAATCAGACACATTTTCCTTAACAAATCGTTCAAACCACGCCATACAGCAACAAGCACACGACACATATCGTCAGTGGTAGACAGATTAACGGTGTATTGTGTCAGCGGCTTCGGTCAGTTTTCCTTAACTAGGTTCCCTGCTCTCCTGCCCGGAAGAAACATTATATAACGGAGCTTAGCGAATTATGACAAGTGCAACAAACAGATCAAGTTTTAATTCGTGTGCTTGCCTTCCAGATAATGACATGTAAAGAGGTCACGGAATGCACGAACAAGAAGTATCTCGTTACAGAAAACCCTCTGATTGTAGAATAGCATAACGCCGGCATATCGTATGCACTGCACTTCGGTGGCACAACGGTGACCGATTATCATCGCAACCAATGATAGTGACGGTGGTAATCGCGATTACGCTGATGTCGACAGTCATGATAAAGATTATGACATTTACTATGACACGGTGACGACGGTGACAATTATAATGAGGGTGGTGGTGATGATGATAACGATGGTAGCAAGGGTGGTGACAGTGAGCCAGGTGATGACGATGACGTTAGTGACGACGGTTGCGGTGGTAATTATAACAAAAGTGGCGATAAGGAGAATAACAACAGTTATAATAGTAATGATGCTGAATACGATGATCATGGCATTGATGTTTATGTGCATCCATGCGCCACAAAGGTTCAAGTACCATAGAACTTCGGACTTTCAAAATGTTCCCTTACGATTTTAGGACTTGCGGTTAGAGCAACATACATGCTCATGGCACCAACGGGAATACCGCCTAACCCCAAGTAAACATCATACGTTATGATGTGAGATTTAAAACCCAACAAGAGTTTATTTCTGCCAAAATTGCTGCAAAATCAAGTGTAATTACTGGTACCAGTCATCTTCACTGGCAATATTGGTCTATACCCATGACCAGTCAGTTGTAATATTAGAACTACGATGCTGCTGATGATGATGACAGTGCTGATTATGATTATGGTGATAGTGATGATGGTAGTAATAAAAATCGTATTATAGTGACCGGAATGATTACTGTAACCGTAAGGACGGTGGTTATTATGACAGTAACTAAGAGGGTGATACTCATACTAAGAAGTCACAGCTAAATTGGTTCGGGCACGTAGCGAGTACTAGCAAAAAGAAACGCGAAACATCTGTTTGCTCAACCGACCGGCAGAAGATCGAGGGGACGGTCAAAAATGGTATGGGGCCAATACGTCAACGGCATCAGCCTCAGACTGGGTTAACTTCTGCGAAGCTCAGATGTTGGCACAGGATCGGAAACGTTGGAGGCACTGCCTGACAGTGTTACCTTCACGACCCAAAAGGATACGTGGTCATGGAAACCCACTGATAATGATACCAACGGCAATGATGGCATGACGATGGCACGATGACAGTGTTGGTTACACATGCGGTAGTGATTATAACGATAGCGATGATAGCGCTGATGAAGATGACAGTAGTGAATATGGCGATAAAGGAGGTGAAGTTCACTGCGGCGATGGCGACTGTGATAATGATAGTGATGATGACGACGGACCTGATGAAGGCGAAGTAGATATAAATGGTGATTATCATGATAACTTCAGTAATGCATACGTATATGATGAAGGTAACGGCAGTTGGAAATGATACGCTAGCGGTTACGCAGGAGATGGTGATTATCATGATCATGATGATTATGACGATGACGCACGCACCTGTTGGAAGTCGTCGACGAAAACCAAAGCCAGGTGCACTGGCGGCGGAAAAGCCAGAGCCGACCGGCGTTCGTCAATGAATCAGTTTCGTTCTTCAGTCTGTTCGACGTAGGAAAGGCAGTCGTATGAAAGAGGCAAGCGTCGGCGCGTAGAGAACGCCAACAGCCGTTCGCAGTGTGCGTGAGGGTGCGCGTGTGGTAAACATCAGGCGGCAGCCCCGCTTCAGAGGGCGACGCCACGTGCTCGGACGAGTCATCGAGTAGCCTTAGCCTTAACCTTTCCCTCTCCCTATTCCGCAGCCGCCTGTCGGAGATCTGCGTGAGATTCAAAGAAGCCAAAACAACAAAAAGTCGGTCAATGAGAGATGAGACCACGCAACAGCTGGGCGACGAACGCAAATCGTTCGCCGACATCACGCAACTGCATCCACTGAGATCCACCGACATCCCACGACTTATCCGCGGTCGAAAGCGTTTGCCGCCGACTAACTGAATCGAACTGACCAGCTGTCTCACTGCGATCGCCACTGTCATCACCACTGCCACTGCAAATCATTCAGTGGAAAAAGAAACCGCTTCAGCACCACCAACAAACACCGTGATGTGACTCAGCCAGCTTGCCGCACTGACGACCAACTGAAAGAATCCGGTGCACAAAAACTATAACAATCACGTTCGAATCCGTCTTCGCAGCCAACTGACTGAAAATGACTCTCCATCGGCACGGCATCCGCATCTTCTGACAATCATGTTCACGACAATCCGGCTATTTGGCTTAATAAGATGGCGAACAGATCGGTGCCATTCGTTGCGTAAGCATCGTCGTTAGGCGACGACGAAAGAAACGCTCGCAACTGCCTTTACAAACATCCATCGGCAAACAATAAAAGAGCCATGGCGACAAGCGGCGATGCGCGATGACCGCAGCGGACTCTTCCAACCGCGCATGACAATCTTCCGGTCATTCTGACGGACCGTGAACCCTCAGGAACCAGCAGATTCACAAACCAATTGACGTGAAGTGGTGCGACTGGCTTTCGATTCGCTAGTTAAGTCGCCGCGGCACTCCGAACAGCACGCAGAAGATAAACATCACGCCAAAACCCACTGGACCACAGGCGACTATTCCAGCCGATCCACCACACCATGCTCATTTAAAATGCACTTCAAAATCCAGTCCACATATGTCGGCATCCGCATCAAACTATCGGTGATCCTTAACATGATTAGAGTTCTGCAGAACAAGCAAGTGGAAGGGCTAAATCTGTTCGAATCGATCCTATGCTGTTGACCTATATATTGGCTCATCGAGAAAGCTTCCGCGGTTTTTAACCGTTCATCTTGAAGAAGCATAACTCAGCTAAAACTGAATATCTGTATTCAAAATAAGCACCTTATGATCAGACAAATTTGCCCTCTACCGGAAACTGTTTTTAAACGGTTTTTTCGTTGAAGAAGTTGTTGTCCGGAGAACGGAAGTGACAGGCTGTTGGTGAAATATCTGAAAAATATGATAAAAGAGGTAGTATTCAATATCCAGCCCAAGCGATCTTTTATCGTGGTCATTGTTGCAATATGTGGCCATAGGTTGCCATAGTGAAAGTTAAAAAGTTTCCAATGTATCAAAAGAAACGAACATAACGGTATATAACACATCCAGTCAATTCAACACAGCGATAAAAATACAGGATACCACAAAAACCGCGGAAACTTTCCCGATGACCGAATATTTGCATACAAATCACAGGCATGGTAATTTCCTATTCATGAATCCTCTTCCTCTGCCTTCATTTCCTCAACATCGCTTTGCATATGACTGAACACGGACGTGCTGTGTATTCATAGTCATACGCTATAATAATTTTTAGTGTTTGCTTGCGTTGCAGTTAACAAGCAATCATTCTGTAAAACGGAATAGAAGAGAAAAAAGTGAACCCATGAGTAAACGCTCCGGAAGCTACATAAAGACGAAAGGTGAACGATGTTGTCCGTATAAGCGAACATGAGGAAGAATCTGCCTGTTTTGCCGCTGTTCAGTCATCTCTTAATAATTTAATTAGAAAGATCGAACAGCGAAATTAAAAATTTTTTATTTTTCTATTTTCTCATACTGTTTAAACCGCATTACTTTACTTTGCATTCTTCTTCTGTCGTCTAATTACATAGTGAAGTGTAATTTGTGTGTGCATCCTGTGAATGAAGCTAACAGAAATAACGTTTAAAACATGTTATTGTACGACTGCATACTCGCACTTTAAACACATAACACTAGGGTGCGATTAACGGGTGGGACGGGTTAAATCCGGCTTAAATAAAATTTGTGACATGTAAAGATTGTCACAATATAAGTGCGGATCTGGCCGTATTCAATATCGAACACAATCAAGTACTGCTGCTTGAGTTACAGTTTCGGAGGATGAGCGTTGAGGCAGAGCTAATGCACCTTCGATAGAGCTCCATCTTGATATGAATATGAAATCTGGTGGATGTGCTGCGTGACAAGCACTGTGCCAGATTAATCGTGAAAAAACTGCTGGGCAGAGTTGCTAATGATACTGTTTGCAATGCAAATACCGTATGCCATTGCCGGTTCGTAATGCGCAATGCCAAATCAATTAGAGGCAAATTACTAAATCTTGAAACAAACTCAGGTGATTCGCTTATCGCTTTGAAATCGAAAGACAATAAACCAGAAAAGATCACAGTTTCTTCAGAGGTAAAAAGCGGAGAAATAAATGCAATGACGAACTTTGTTACGGCTTCCGAGGATGCACGCAAGTTCTCAAGTGTTTTCGCGTAGAAAGATGCCCTACAACACTGGTTAGCTAACTCCTGAACGTGACGACGTGAGACCTGACGAGGTGGCTTTGAAGTACTTAATGTGTCGTAGCCGCATGACTGATCTGACAAAGATGTCCGGTGAACGAGTGGAAAAATTAAGAAGAGCAGGGTTCCTGGTAGGTACTGCGCACCATGCAGATTCCATCAAGTTTTATTCCTATTAAGACGGAGCTTGTTTGGGGAAAGAAAGTGGCAAATATCACTAACACCATTCTGGCACATGTCTCTGCCTTATAACGACAGTAAAGCGCTCATAATCAAAGTATTAGCGCAGAGCTCAAAAGCAACAACAAAGACAACACAAAAACGTTTATAGCTGGTCATTAGTAGTATGTTACAAAATTGTTAGCCAGTGAGCGACAAGATAAAGAAGTGCCATACTACGGGTATCTATCCTTTCTAGCAGACTCCGACTAGTCGAACATGAAACACTCATGTACGAATCGCAAAATTTACAACGTACCAAGGGTGACCTGAAACTGGGTCGCGAGGAATTCGTAACAAAGGTGCTATCATACACCTGTTGCACAGTTTCGAGCATTCATTCGCGGTAAAGGTAGTCTAATCTGTGCGTTAGTTTGCCTTGTTCTCATCTATGCGGTCCGGCTGAAGGTAACGTGCACGTACCGCTTGACCTCCATAAAACAGTTCCTAAATGAGCAGATCCCATCCACAACATAAACATCGATTTCGTCAAAACTATACCAATCCGCTTGCCGCCCTGCTGGCATCATGCAGCTCCGGGCAGGAAGCCTAGATGATGGGCAGAGGTTTGCGACATGTGGTAGGCGAGAAGCACGGCTTAAAATACTAATTGAAAATCCAGCTAAACTATCAGCTGCCATCCTGACTACACGCACAGAAAGGTCTACCCATCGCATGCTGCCAAAATTCGCT